CATAGGAATCAGCCTTGGGATGTTGATGTAGATAATGATTCTCTCCCCTCCCCCATGAAGTTAGAGGAAGTCAGACAATGCTGCTGCCAAACCATTTTCACAGCTGGTTATAACAAATTGCTGGGCTTTACCCCCAACATTTCTGATTTAGTAGTATATTAGTTTCTTATCGCTGCTGTAACAAATGACCACATACTCCCTGGGTTAGAACAACATAAATTTGTTCTCTTACATTTCTGAAGTCAGAAGTCTGAATTGAGCCTTTTGGGGCTAAAATCAAGGTGTTAGCAGTCACGTATTCCTTCTGGAGGCTCTGGAGAAGAATCCCTTGCCCTGCCTTTCCCGGCTTCTAAAAGCTGCCCACATTCCTTGGCTCACAGCCCCTTCTTCACATCCTTCCAACCTCTAGCTCCCATCATTACATCTACTTCTACTCTGATTTTGCAACCTCCCTCTTATAATGTGGACCTTGTGATTACATTGGGCCCACTAGGAAAATCCAGGATTAATACCCTCATCCCAAGATTCTTAACTTAATCTGGAAAAGTGCCTTTTACCATGTGAGGTTATATACTCACAGCTTCCAGGGATTACGATGTGGACATCTTTGGGGGGCCATTATTTAGCCCACCCCAAGTAGGTTGACAGTAAGGCCTGAGAAGTTGCATTTCTAACAAGCTCCTTGGTGATGCCAACACTGCTGGTCCACACTTTGAGCAGCAAGGATCTAGATTGATGGTTCTCAATGTGTGGTCCTGGGATGAGCAGTAGCAGCATCACCTGGGAGCTTGTTAGAAATGCAAACCACAAGTCCCTCCCCAGAGTCCCACCCCCAGTCAAAATCTGCATCTTAACAAGATCCCAGGCTATTCATTTATACATGAAAGTTTGAGAAGCACTACTCTACAATAAAATCACAGGGGGAGAGGATGAAGGAATAGAAGTTGAATGACAGGGGTTGGGGGCAATTAAGACTTCACTAGTCTTAAGAGCCTGGCCTACCCTCTCACATAGGAAAAGAAAAATAGGAGGAAAAATCTAAAGGACCTCTGTAACTATCCAGCCAAAGGAAGAAGTGAGCAGACCGAACCCTCCTCCACCCAGCAGTGCTGGCCAGGGCACTGTGACCTGGCTGAGAGGGGAGGTGGCTGAAGGCAGGGCTAAGGGATCCCAGAACCCAGGATAGACAAGGAAACCAGGCCAGGAGGCATTCACTGAAGGAAAGGGACACTGAAGCCATAGCCAAGGATTAAACATTTATTCTCTGAGTGCTGACTCCATCCTTCCCTCAGAGGAGCGAGAGCAAGCCAGTCTGTGCTATTTTGTAACCCATTTTTATTTACAAGAAGGAAGGAGGGAGGGAGGAAGGGAGGGGCGGAGAGAAAGAATGAGGGAGAAGGGAGAAGAAGAAAGGAAGGAGAGAGGAAAAGAGGGAGGGCTGAAGGAGGGAAGGAAAGTGAAAAGGAAGGAAGGAGAGAAAAAAGACAGGAGGAGGAAAGGGAGAGGAAATGAGGGGGAAAGAGAGAAGGAAGGAGGGAGGGAGGGCAAGAGAAAAGGGATGGAAGGAAGGAGGTGAGAGAAGAGCCCTTCTGAACATATGGCCTTTATCGTAACTGTTGCAGACTTAAGACTTGGGACTGGACCTCCCACAGTAACAGCAGCAGTGGCATCTTGTCACCTGGTATTCAAGGCCTCTGGTTAAATATGGGGCCTCTCAATCCAGCTTAACAAACATCACCTCTCCCACAGGCCAGGCTCAGCAATACTAAGCACACCCCATTCCCTGTGGCCTTGTTCATCCTGTTAAGATCTCGCCCAACCTTGGACCCTAGCTCCTCACGGCCATACCTTTCCTGCCACTCAAGCCCCAGATGTCACCTTGCATGGTTCCACTTCAGACTCACATTTGCACATATCAAGGGCAATTCTAACCCATCCCCTGGTCCCCACCCCCCTGAGGACTTGCTTGGGTGCCTCTTGGGAGTCACTTATGTTTTCTGAGGTGTCCCTAGAGGCAGCTGTGGCAGGAGAGTCCTGCCCACCAGTAATACTGTCCCTGACCATCTCTAATCGTGGGAACATCTAGGATCTCTGATTCCTTCCAACCAAACAAGTCAGCATCCTGTGGAGGGTAGGTGGCATGTGTAGCTTTTAAAATATTCATATTTCAACATCCCTGAAAATAACAAAGTATTCTGAGATTTTATGTTTCTACATGTTTCTGAGATTCTTCTACACGTCTGAATGTTTATTGAACTCTTACTAGAAGGCATATGTACTTTGTGCTTGGCCCATATCTGAGAGGCTAAAAGCCAAGTGGGTCATAGATTCAGAATTGCTCTCTCCATTTCAGAAAAGGAAGGGGGAAAAGTAGCCACGTTGACCAAATCAAAGGTGCCAATACCTCAATTAAATAAGTATCCAAAGATCAGTAAGAAGACAAGAGCCCTCAAAGCAGGTGCCTTACCAAGGATGCTGTTGCTGCTCCGAGAGACAGAAGCCATGTTTACAGGAAAGCACCAAGCCCAGATCAATGGTCAACCTCATGGCAAGTTCTACAAGATGAAGAAGGGAGATGAGGGTGAAAGGCTGAGACACTCACCTGAGCTACCTCAGAGCCATGGAATGTGAGTCTGGAGAGAGTCTCCTCCCATGGCCTCTAGGCTCCAGAGATGAGCCCACCAAACAGAGCAGAGGGCACAGGCCAGCAAGTGGTTCGAGGAAAGCCACCCTGGCCTACGTCACACAGGACGAGAAATACCAGAGTGCTCCGGGTTCATTCTTAGGTTCCCAGGAATGTGCTAGACTGTGTGCTTTTTCCAGGACTTTTGTCTCCTTGACCCATTACCCTCCCCCCAAAAAAACCCTTCAATTTCCTCTGAAATCAAGGCCTTTCAGACCCAACTGAGGCAGGTTAGGCAATCCAAGGAGCAAATATAATCCATATCGACAGCATTTCAGAGTAAGTAAAGCATGGGCCACCACTCATGAGCTGTATGGCCTAGGGCAAATGACTAAAACTCTCTGAGCCATGGGTCATGTCTGAGATAAGGCTAATGACCTCTCACTCACAGGTGCAATTAAATGATGTAACCTACATGCAGAGCCTAGCATGGCTACTCAGATTTTCGAAAGGCACTCAACAAATGTCAGCCTTCACCTTTCTTCTCTTCAAATTGCCCTGTCCCCCCAACTCCTTTGTTTCTCTGCTCTCCCTAGACAACTGTTCTGGGTGCTGGGCTCACTGGCAACATGCTGATGTGTTAGATCCCAGAGCGGAAGGAAGCCAACCATTAAACCAAAAGTGAAAAGCAAGGAACCATTACCTTGAGCAGAAAGGACATTTATATTTACTTCAGTGGCTATAAAAGACACCATAAAATATAATATGCAGCATGCATCCTCATGATTAATAACAGATCTTGCAAATTATTCTCTCAGGTCCCTGGGTGCATCCAACTGGTCACTAAGAACAATTATTTCTTTCAGGAAATAAAGGCATTGCGAATCATCTCTGGTCACTGGAAGATCCGCTGCTTGTATTACCAAAAATAAGACCAGAAGTGTATATCGTATTACTAAAAATTAGATGTTGAACTACTGTCTGTGAGCACTGGGGCTTGGTGAGAGCTGTGACCTGTCAAATTTGGGGCCTCAGGGGCCTGGAGACCACACAGACGCAGGAGGTGAAGGAGTTTTGGGGTGTTCCAGGAATAGAGCCAAATGATCGAGCAGGGGGGAGGGGACAGAGCTGGCAGTAGGCAATGAGGTAGAAGCATAGAGTCCAGACAGGTGAGGTGAAGACTTCAGAGTGGAAACCTAGCTATAGCAACCAAGCTTTCAGCAAGAAGACCACGGTCTCCAAGAGGACTATGAGACCAGGTAGAATCTTTAGCCTGAAACTGGAGTTCATTGAATGAGGAACCAAAGAGATAAGTCAGAAATCAACTAGTAGACCAAGGCAGATGATGAGGTGACAAGGCATGAGGTGAGAACCAGGGGAACCAAAGTCCAAGGATCCCACTGAGCCTCTGAGTTCCTGGCCTTGGGCTTCTAACTCCCCTGACAAGGTCTGGGGGTCTTAGAAGGTGAGAAAAACTTACAAAGATGCAGGAAATAGCCCTCAAATGGAAGGCTGGGAGGACTACAGGTGTAAGAAGCCAAGCAGAAGATCACAGCGACACTCGGCTCTCAGGTCCTCTCTCACCTAACAGCCAGTGTGGATTCGCTCACACCTAGAATAAAATTCCCCATGAACCAAGCCCAGATTCAACTTGCTTCCCCCCAGGCTTCCCTGGAAACCCCAAAGAAGTAGCAACCAGGGGAAACTGTAATTAAAATATGTTGGTAAGGACCATGAGGCACATTCTGGATACAGCATAGAGTTGGGGTCAAGGGTTGGGGGCAGTGAGTTAAGATGGACAAATCCTGAAACCCTGAAGGGGTCTTTTATTGAAACACAGTACATGACATAAAACACCAAGGGATCACCATGACAGCAGTGAACTCATGGCTTCAACAGAATCTGTGTGAATATGCCAAAGAATCTTACAAAGATGACGCACCTCTGGGGAGTGATATGGGAAGGAGAAGGAACCTGCTCTCTAGCAAGTTCAGGACCATACTCACCTCCAACAAAACTCAAACTTCCTACAAGCTAAATGTGCCCTCAATGGGATGCATGGTCCAAAAGGGTTAACAGAAGTGAGGGGACATTCAACCCAATGGCACATACCCAGAGTAGGAAAATAGACTCCTTTGTCTTCTCTCTAAATAAAGAGAGAAGTCTGTTCCATGTTACAGCTCATTGGCCCTGAGCCAGGGCTGCAGAGTAGGAAGGGAGTGAGGATACTGGTGCCGTGAGAGGGGCCTAGGGTTCCAGAACACCACTGGACAGAGGTGGGCAACTGGGTAGAGGCATGGCAAATGAGTGGGGAGTGAAGAGATGCCTTTCCCACCACAGGGTCACACCACAAAGGGACAGGGAACAGCAAGTCCACTCAGTGTGAAGCAGGAATGAGCCAGCAAAGCAGGGCCAAGACCCAGCTGGCCAGCTTCAACCCTTTCACACTCAGAATGAATTCATGAAGGTCAATCTTCCATAGGCTGAAGGCTTCACTCAAAGAGATCTGGGTCCTTCTGAAAAACGAGCAGGTACTCTTCTTCTTGTGCCTGGAGGAGGGGCAAGAAGGAGAGACACAGTCAGAGATCAAGAGAAAAGAAACAGTAGTTCAGTATCATTTAGGAAAATGGAGGATGGTGGCTTTACCCACCTGACCAGCTCCCTGAGCCTGTGGACTGCTCTTGGTTATATGATATTCCAATGTCCAGTGAGCACCCAAAGGAACTCAAATATTTCAAAGGAGTTTTTCAAATAAGTGGTTTAAGCAAAAGGAGTGGTTTAACAGGGGAGTGATGGCTTAATGGATCCACTGAGAAGAACATCCAAAGTTTCTCTTTTTCCAAAAGTAGAGTAAACATACTCCAAACTTTTTGAGGGTAAGAATCACCTGGAAACCTGGGCAGGTGGTCCTAAGAGACAGAAGTCATTGTGGATCGAGCCCAGCTCAACCCTTCCTACATCAACAAAAGGTCATAATGGAAATTGGTATTTATGATGATGACTTACTCAAGACTTCATTTCTTGAACCCTCAGAGGAAGAATAAATCATATTCAGCCTTTTCAGTGGGCAGTATATTTTGCTATAATCAAGTTTGATATCTGATATCCGATAGACCCATGATATATATGGTCAATTCTCCCTTCACAGAGACTTTCCCTGAATGACCCATTCCCTGCCTACTACAGATGAACTGGAAGTTAAGTCTAGACTTCCTCCTGTGGGTGATAATGTTCAACCAGATGGCCTTTTCTGTGTATTCTCCATACTCAAGTAGAAGGGCTTAAAACCCTCACTACTCTTCCACCATCTTCCTGAGGGAGCAACTTCCCTTTCTCACCAACACACAAAAGGTACCCAGGCATCCAAAAAGGCTCCAGAAAGATCTGAGGTTCCTGAAAGAGACCGCTTGATTCAAGCTCCTCCTCATGCAGGCCTTCCATGCTGCCAACACTTTCCCTCTCGAGTCACAGCTACACTTGCAGGGAAAAGAACACTGGCCTACATCCAAGGTGCAACCATTGGTCTCTCCTCATCCATAGTAAAGAAGAGTGAATAAAATCAGAGATGCATGGAAACAATTAATCCGAAGGACAACAGAACACGTGAATCTCAACCTCTATGACCCTGAGGCCAAAATTAGATGGTACGCAGCTACCACTGTTGACTACTCTAAAAGGGTTTGCAATAGGAGGTTCTGGACAGAGTGGGAACACAATGCTCCCACAAAACTCAAAACCATAAAAAAAAAAAAAAAAAAAGACCAGGCTCACTGGTTGGACAGACTGGTGGAACTCCTGAGATGATGGCCCTTAGTCACTTTTCCAGCCCAGAAATGAACTCACTCTTTTAGCTCAACTTTCAGCCAAACAACAGACAGGTCTATAAGGTGAACAATAACACTAGAGGGGTATGCACTCTTTAGAACAATCAACCATTCAAGATCAAAAGGGCAGCATTTTCCCAAGGACAAAGTTCAGAAAGAAGGCAAGAAGGGATAGGAAAGAAGTGGTGCGAGCTATGTTACATTGTCAGGCTTGCAATCAATGGCATAAAACAAACTGTATGAATTCCTGAATAGAAAACTGATTTGCTCTACAAATCTTCACCTAAATCACAATACAAAGTTTGGGGGGAGGGGAGGAAATGAACACTGGCCTAGCTACTGGCCAGTCTCTGGAGAGACAGTTATAAGACCCTGGATCAGTTAGAGGAGCTCTGGTGGCATAGTGCCTAATGCATTTGACTGCTAACCAAAAGGCTGGAGGTTCAAATCCACCAGCCACTCCTCAGAAAGAAGGTTGGGCAATCAATCTACTTGAGTAGAAATACCACCTTGTAAACCCAAGGAGATGTCACTATGAGTTGGATTTGACTCAATGGCAATGAGTTTGGTTTGGTTTGGTTTGGTTTGGATCAGTTAGAGATGGGATACACATCAGAGCTTCCTGATCCCAAGTCCAGAGGATGCTTGGAAGGGCTGAGACTCTCAGAATCTAACATATCAAACTTTAATGAGGGTAAGAATTGCCTAGAAAACAGGGTAGTTGGGCTGGGAGGGTGAGGTACTGGAATCTGCCATTTTTCACAAGTCCAGGTTGTTCTTCAACCACCCACAAAACTGCCCCAAGCTACCAGCAAGTTCACTGGAGTTGTTCTCTGCCCCCACTTTTTCTTCAAGGAGAGCTGGAGACTGGGAAGCTCGGGCAGGGCCCTGCAGACTGGTAGGAAAACCTGGCGGTGAGTGGAACCCCTAGGGTAGGCTGGGAGCCCAGAGGGAGAGAGAAGAGACCACACTCACAGGGCCAGAGCCCTGATGCAACAGCGTGACATGTTGAGGAAGGAGCTGGCACTGGCGCGGGTGCCCAGGGCAGCCTCGATGCCACGCAGTAGGTCGTTGGTCTTGAAGATCAGCAGCATCTGGCGCGGCACACGGTTGAGGAGCTGGCTGATCTGGGGAAGGTAGTTGGCCGCATTGTCCCGGATTTCCAATTCCTGAGCAGCAGTGGGAGACAGAAATGTATTATTGGTATGAGATGCAGTGGCATGGCAGGGGAGGGGGCACCTGTGACTTGAGGTGCTGTAAGCACAGTTACCTTAGCACCACTTAGATTGAAACAGTACAAGGGGCCCTGTAGCCTGACAAAGCTAGTTGGAGCATCACCCCCCAACCTCTGGCCACTCATTGGATGCATGACAGAAGCACATAAAAACCCTCATTTCTGCTGCAGCTGCTGTCCCTGGCTCCTTACAGTCAAGGTCAATGATTTGTAGGAGTTGGATGCTGTCAAGTTGATTCTGACTCCTGGTGACCCCCTGTGTACACAGTAGAACTGTGCTCCGTAGGGTTTTGGAGGCTGTGACCTGTCAGAAGCAGATCACCAGGCTTGTCTTCAGAGGTGCCTCTTGGTAGGTTCCAACCACTAACCTCTTGTGCCACTGTATGTGCCGCTCAAGGATGTCTAAGGTCAAGGATACCCACCCCCAAAGCCCCCAAGCCAGTACTAACTGGAGCAGGGAGGTGCCTTCCCCACCAACCCCTCCACCCCACCCCACCTGTTGAAGTTGGAATTAGCTGGCCTCTCTGCCTAGGGATCCATCCTCTTAGTATTCCCCAAGCCTTCTTCACTAGTCATCAATTTCAGCCAGGCCTGGAAAGAGCCCTAGAAGCTGGTACTAGATGAGTCATGACCCTGCCCCTCCTGCCAAGCTCAGGCTGGGTCAGTCCATAGGTCCGACCGAGTCCCTCAACTCCAACTCCAAAGTTCTACCCCATTCCCTGCCTGACTTTGTGCCTCACCAGGCCTACCCAGACCCTTGGAGCCCACTGACTGGAGCCAGTCTCACTTCTCCCAACACCTGAGGTCCTGATGCCCCCAGAGCAGCATCAGGGTGAGCCCTTAAAACTGGCCATCCCCACAGCCCCTGCTCCATCCTGGTACATAGGTTTGGGGCCTGGATTCTGCTCTTTCTCTGTGTCCCTGATCTCTGTGTGGCTCTAGGAAGGTTACTGTCTCCAGCCTGACATGCACTGAGCATGATAGTGCAGCTCTGAAGCCTTCTTCCAGAAAAACAAAGACAATGATGATTGATGATGATGCTGGCTAACATGTATGAAGAGCTAACTACAAAAACCAACCACTTTGCAAATGTTTGCATCCCCCCTTCCAACTCTATAAGTTACAGTTACAGCTAGTAAGTGGCAAGCGAAGACTTAAACCCAGGCAGTCCAGCTTCCTAGCCCATGCTCTGACCATCTGGCTCTACTGCTGCTCCACCAGACACAGCAGGCCTGTGTGACTCTGAGTAACTTTTTTAGTCTTTTTCAATTCAGAGTCCTTACCTAAAAACTAGGCATGATACCACCTGTGTCTACCTCCTAGGAGTACTGAGAAGGTAATAAGAGAGAAGGTGAAATGCTCTGAGTCAATCAAAGTCATATCAAGGGGTCCCCAACACCCAATACCATCAAGTCAATTACAACTCATGATGACCCTATAGGACAGAGTAAATGGTCCCATAGGGTTTCCAAGGCTGTAATCTTTATGGAAGCAGACTGTGACATCTTTCTCCCATGGAGCATCTGGCAGGTTTGAACCAACAACTTTTCAGTTAGCAACCAAGCGCTTGACCACTCCCACCAGGGCTCCTTATGGAGGGGTCTCAGTGTTGCCAAAAGGCATTATCACAATGGCCACCTGTCTACAGTGGAAGCAGAACACTCAGCCTTTTCAGGAGCATGTGTGTGTGACTGATAACAATATTGTGATACTTGAAATGTCCCCCAGGCAGGAGCTATCAGACTGGAATATCTCCACTGGAAGCCAGACACTAAGAAGCCTCCCTGCTGCAAGGTCACCCTAGCCTGAGGACTAGGCCAGACCAAGGCCCAGCTCATCATAAGGACCCCACCTCTCAGTAATGTTGGAACTGACCCAGAGACAGCCTCCCTCAGCCAGAACAGAAAGGGCCTTCCCTAATCTAGGCAAACTCCTAGGGGGATCTTGTAGAGTAGCAAAGCCTTCAAGCCTAGATAGATCCTGATGCTGCGTGTCTGGGTAGACTCTGTTGGGTGCCTACCCCACAGCCATTCCACTTCTTCTTTGTTAAAAGAACCGCAGTTCTGTTCACTTGACTCCTTGGGGCCATGTGTTCAGGGAAACCTTAGGGCAGTCCCACTCTTAGGGCAGGGGGCATCTTGATCCAGCTCAGCCAATGCTGACTCTGAGTGTCCATTGCAAGTGGTTGAGCCATGGACAAGTGACATGATTCTGGTCAATGAGACATGAGAAGTCTGTTGGGGGACTTTTGGAAGAGGTTTTCTTGCCATTAAGTAATGATGTACGGGAAAAAATAAACCCTCTATTCCCATCTCTAGTTACTGCTGAACAAAGACAGCAAAGCTTGGAGCAGCAACAGCCATCTTGAAATCATGAGAAGAAAACCAAGAGAATCACAGAGGAGTAAATCCAGAACCTTGAATTTGCAATCTTCAGAATTGACCAAGCTGGAATCACCTACCTGCAGGTTCCTATTATGGAGAAAACAAATTCTTCATTGTTTAAGCCACTTCTAGTGTTGCTGTCAGCCCCAGGGATACAG